TGTTAGTTTTATGTGTGAGGAACGCCTTTAAATTCATTGGTTAAATCTTTAGATGTAAAATATTTCTGCATTTATTAGTCAGAGTTAGAAACTTGTACAACCTTCCCTTTCACATGTTGAAGTATTTGTCTTATCTTATAAAAAGAAATAGTTATTGTGCTTACCTCGAAGTATTTTTTCGCCATTTTTTTTTCCAAATATTTTATTGTATCCCGGATTGACCGGTACGCTTGATTTTTTCCATTTTTTCTGATCTACTGTCCTGTATGCTTGATATAAATTCAATCAATAAAATTTCATGACGAGAGATTGAGATTGATCAACTGATCAACAATATTACCAATATTCCATCTGTTTGTCCCCTATGCTTTCTATTTATGAGCTTAATTACAATGAGCTGAAAGAGAATCATTTGCTCATTAAAGGAAGTAAACCAAAATGGATTCCAATCGCTGCAAGTCTGTCAGCAGTTCTTGGATTAGCACTCCTGAGTTCTTTTGCTTTCGCCATCTGGAGAATGAGAAATTCTCGAGGTAAGAAGTGGATTTGGCTAGATTAAAATTTCCTTATCTTGTTGTGTTAATTTAGTTGTGTTTTTGGCAGAAGATAAAGAAAATAGCCAAGAGGTTCAACTACTTGACTTGAGAGGAGGAAATTTTGTGAATGAATACTCAAATGAAAATTTTCATGGTGAGAGGGTGGAAGGATCCCAGGAATTTCCTTCCATTCAGTTAGATATTATACATGCAGCAACAAAACATTTCTGTGATGAAAATAGACTTGGAGAGGGTGGATTTGGCCCCGTATACAAGGTGATTATTACATTTTTTATTTGTAAGCCTTTATATGAGTTAAATTCTTACCTGTTTCATAACTTTTCCAGGGTACACTAACAGATGGTAAAGAAATTGCAGTTAAGAGGCTCTCTAGAACTTCTGGTCAGGGGTTACTAGAATTCAAAAATGAAGTAATGTTAATTGCTAGATTACAACATAGAAATCTTGTAAGACTCCTGGGATGCTGCATGGAGGATAACGAAACCTTGTTGGTTTATGAATACATGCCCAACAGGAGTCTTGATGTCTTCCTTTTTGGTTTGATCCTTGAACTAGGAAACTTCTACTCCATACATAACAAGGGATTGGAAGATATGTAACCAATTGTATTTTTATATTTTTGTTTGTTCTTAGATTCAAGCATGAGTGTGCAATTGGACTGGCAAAGACGGTTTAGCATCATCATTGGAATTGCTCGGGGCATCATGTATCTTCATGAGGATTCTCGTCTCAGAATTATTCATAGAGATCTTAAAGCAAGTAACATTTTGTTGGATGGTGAAATGAATCCAAAGATTTCTGATTTTGGCATGGCAAGGATTTTTGGTGGAAATCAAACTGAAGCAAACACAAAGAGAGTTGTGGGAACATAGTAAGTTAATATACTAATAATCAATGACCAAATAGAGTAGTTTTATTTATTATTATTATTATTCATCTAAACAAAGTAGTCATATAATGTTAAACATTTCAAGTATGGTCTTGTGAAATTTATGTAGTGGATACATGGCTCCAGAGTATGCTATGGAAGGACTCTTTTCTGTCAAATCTGATATATTCAGCTTTGGAGTCCTATTACTAGAGATCATAAGCGGGAAGAAGAACAATGGATTTTATTTCTATGAACACTGCGAAAGCCTTCTAACTTTTGTGAGTTTCTATCCATCCTTTATTCTGTTTTTAAACAAATACTTGATTAATAAAATGGTATGATAGTAATCTTAAATCAAATTGCAGGCATGGAAACTATGGTCTGAAGCCCAAGGAATGCAGCTTATAGATCCACAACTGGCGGAGTCATGCGTGGAGTCTGAAGTGCTCAAGTGCATTCATATTGGTCTGTTGTGTGTGCAAAAAGATCCAGTGGACAGACCCACCATGTCATCTGTGATATTAATGTTGAAGAGTGAGACCATAACTCTTCCTAAACCAACAGAACCAGCGTTTTTTGTTGGACGAGTTGCTGCAGAACCAGCTTTACCCTCTACAGACAACATTGTCTGTTCTGTCAATGAGGTAACACTTTCAAACGTGTCTCCTCGCTGATTGTTAGTGCTTTTTATGATATTTTCGAGCTTCCTAGCTTTGTACATGTATATAATGTATTACAGCACAACATCAAATAAAGCTATTTTCTTTTTCACTTGGTCCATCCAGGATGATATTTACTGAAGAAAAACTCCGACTTCATTATGACATTTCAAGAATCCATGAGGATTAACACCAATGCGACTCTAATCTTGCCTTTTATAGCGCATGAAACAGTTAACTGATGCCTGCATTTGTAATCCAGAGTGATTTTTCAACAAACACTTTCAACCAAGCCTCTCTTCATTTGCCTCTAATAGTGGTTGTTGTTGGCAGCTTCTCTCTTTCTATAACCACTTCAAACGTGAAAAACAGTGATTTTCATATTGACAGGATTAATGTTTTTTTCTCAGCAATTCAGATTAAATCCAACTATGTCCTCATTTTATCGCTATCTAATCTCACCGTAAGATTGAATCTTATGAAGTAAGAAGAAGAAAAGGAATTATTGATTCAGGAAAACACATTCCTTTTCCATGGTGTTCTTCATGACCCTTGTGTAGTTGTGTTTCCCTGTTCATCAGGTTCCCCTGCTTCACAAGTTGAAGATATTCTTACTCCGTAAGTCGGGGTTATATGGTTGAAGCATGATAATTTCGCAAAATTTAAGAAGATGTTCTAATATTAACAAAATTTAGAGAGTTTAATTAATTGCGAGAAGTTCAGGGTTGCATTCTGGTTTTCTTGTAGTTATAGGTAACTAGATGGCAAAAACTAATGTTAAGCTCTAGACTTTTCCCATTTTCTCCCATAAGCTCTCAAAGAAAAAATGTGGCATGTAAGTCCCCAAAGACTTGAGTTTGAGCAAATTAACTCTTGTATTAATGGCAAAATCACATGTGATCACATAAGTTAAATAATTATTTTTTTTTCAATTGCATGGCAATTCTTTTATATTTAGTCATTTAGATGCTGATGTGGTATGTGACTCAATTGTTTAGTTCTTAATTTGAAAATTTAAAGTCATATGTTGTTCACATTTAAATGTAAAGAAATTGCTATATTAGTATCTAAGGATAAAGAATGTATCATGCAAGTGATAAAAATTATATGATTGTTTAACTTATGTGATTGCATGTGATTTTGCAATTAAGAGAATGACTAATTTATTCTAAAGATAAACTACATAAATAGTTCTTGACGTTTATCATTACTTTTAGTTTACTCACTCACCAAAATCTGTAAATTTAATTAATCACTCACTTTTGTTTTAACGTTCTCTGTTAATCATTGTTAGTTATCTCTCCTAATTGTTGCTAAGCAAAGTGATGACAAGGCATGGGCCAAGAAAAAATTGATGGCTTGGCGCTTGTGTGGAAGTTAAATACATGAACTACACCCAAAAAAGCAATAGATACCAGAAAAAAAAAATAGCAACTCACAAGTCGGCCAGCCTGTTATTTCCCTCCCATGAGAAACTTTCTCCAATTGGGGATTCTCCAAAAGTCAGAAAATAATTGAGAGAGGTAGGATATTGGGCTTGAAATTCTATTAGCATCTTTGTTATTTGTGAAGACTTTAAATCAGATAGATTCAAGAAGTATATAAATAGAAAAATTCAGCAAAAGTGGGAAACTCAACCCAAAAATTTACCAAAGAAATTGAAAATAAATAAATTCAACAAAGGAGTTGATCATTTTGGAACCTTTTGTTAACGTATTTCATTTGAAGAAATTACTTTCTATTTGTTTATTAAATGTTACTTAACAAAAGTGAAAATAATTTTGGATGGGTTTGCTGTTCTTTGCCGTTGGAATTTTAATAGATATTGCAATTTGAGATGTTAGAGATAACACTGATATATGTAAAGCTTTGATTTATTTGGCTAGTATTGCAATTCCTTATTTCATTTTGTTTGTTCCATTATCTTAATTTTGTTGTACTAGATCTCTTCCTTATTTCTTTTCTAGTGAAAAGGTAATCTGTGCTCTTGATATTTGATAAGGAAAATTGGATAGTAATGGTTTATTATTATTAATTGTTACTAGTTAACTATAGGAACACATAGTTTAAGTTTTTTGAATCAAATATTGATCTTAGGAGATATGCAATGTTATTAGGGAAAAATTGAAAAGCTATTAGTTCGGCTATGAGGATTTTGATGTGTGGTAGGTGGTGTTGTTTCTTTCTTTCATACATTGGACATTCTCTTTTTTTTCTTTTTCTTTTTTTTTTCTTTTTTTCTTTTTTGAAATTCCTGCATTTATTTTCCACATAAGAGTCAAGTCATCAATTATTTTTTGCTCTACATATGCCATGTCATCATAAGGAGAGGGGTTAACGGAAAACGTTAAAACACACTTGAGTGATTAAATTTACAAATTTAGAAGTAAAGTGACCAAAATGAAAGTTATGATAAAAGTTAGTGACCAGTTGTGTAGTTTACCCTTTACAAAAATTCAGCCGGGGCTTTCATTTCACTTTTTTTTCTTTGAAGACTTAAGTAAAAATAGGAAAAGTCTAAGGGACATTGGGTTTTGCCTATCTAGATATGCCAGTTTTCACTTCCATCGCCCTCAGTTGATTAAAATAAAAAGGAAGTCTTGTCTATTTTTCTGTTTTTCGCTGTACGTATCGCTTTCATTGCAAGTTTGCAACTAGTCTCAGGAAAACTTCCCTTAACTTTTCTCGCCAGTGAAACGGGTTAAGTCAATGTACATTCCTCTACTTTGCTATTTTGTTCGTTTTTGTCTTTGCTTAAGGGAATTGTTCAATGTCATCCTTCTACTTCAAGATTTGGCTAAATGTCATCCTTATGCTAAAGCCGTTAGTGTCAACCCATTAACACTGTCCATTTTGACTGTTATCTTTTCCCTGTCAATAGCTTAGGCATTGTTCCCCCCCCCCCTTTTTTTTTCTACTCCCTTTTCTAAAATAATAGCTCTTTTTATAACTTAAAATTTATCTCAAATTAACTATCCTTTTTTCATATTTTAATAGAGAGAAATATTTTTCTCTTACTAATTCTATTATTATTTATGACTTTAATTATCATCTAATCATAAAAAAATGTCTATTCTTGACTATATTATTGTTAAAAACATAAATTATTCTCAAATTCTTAATCAAAGAAGAAATTAAAAAAAACAACTGTTGTTCTAGACAGTGAGTACTCTTTAAGACTTAATTCCATCCATTTTACAATCCTTGTCTTGTTTTTATTAAATATTTGTTTTGAATTAATTGTCTCATTTTTAATTTTCTTTACCATTTTAATCTTAAAATTAAAACTCACATTTAATAATCCACTACATTAGTATATTTCTCTTAACAATATTAAGGACGAAATTAGAAAAAAAAAAGTTAATTGTAACAATAATTATAACTTCTTATTCATGTGTATGATCAAATAAAACATATATTATGAGATGTATGGAGTACTAGATCATGAGTCAACAAGGGTCATTAAAAAGTCACGCATTAATGGTATAAACTTAGAAGGATCCTATTCTCAAGTTCAAAATTTTGAAAATTATATTGAACAAATTCAAATTAGAATCATGAAAATTGTGTGCAAAGAGTCAATAATAAATAGTTAATTTAGATGGAATATTAAATAAATTCACTATACAATGATTGTCAAAAAAACTAAAAACCTGCAGTAAAGGGAAAGGATGTGCTGAGGTGGAATGGTTGTGGGACTAGTAAGGTTTAGAAAAAGGAAAAAAAACAATAAAAAATGCCTCAAAATATTGACAGGTTAGAAATAAGACGGTGTTAGTGGGTTGTCACAAACGGCGCAAGCATAACTGCATAAGGATAAGATTGAACAGTTTTTCTAGAGTAAAAGGACGACAATGAACCAAATCCCGAAGCAGAAAATGACATTGCACAATTCATTAGTAGAAGGACAAAATGAAATAAAATAACAAGTAGAGGGACCTACCCCTGGGAAACCGAAAACAATTGAGTTTACCAGACTACTCTGTTGGAGATGGCGGGTCAAAGTTTCCTTCTTTCTCTACCATTCAAGTCCACATCGCTTAAATACATCATATTGAAAAACAGAAGCGCCTCAGATTCATTCATATATCCGATAATCCCATGATCTTAGGCAAACAAAAGCAGAGAATTTGATCATTAAAAATGTCTGCTTTCGAATTCTTCACTACCCTGTTTCTACTCTCACTCCTCAGCCTTCCAACTGAAGCTCAGAACCCAAATTACCTTTCCCACGACTGCTCCACCACGACCAATTTCACCGCAAACAGCGCTTATCAATCCAATCTCAACACCCTCCTCTCCGCCCTATCCTCCAACGCCACCGTCATCAACGGCTTCTATAATACCTCATCTGGGGAAAGCCCCAACTCGGTCTACGGCCTCTTCCTCTGCCGCGGCGACGTTTCTACCACTACTTGTCGAAATTGCGTCACGCTTGCAGCAAGAAATGTGACTGTGCTTTGCCCTGTTGAAAAAGATGTTGTGGTTTGGTACGATGAGTGCCTCCTCCGCTACTCCGACGAAGGGATTGTCTCCATCCTCGATGATAAGGTGTACGCGTGTTTCGGGAACAACCAGACTGCCGCGGATCTGACCCAATTCAACAATGTATTGGCGACGTCGTTGAACGATGCAAGGACTCGGGCTGTGCCAGCAGCTAAAAAATTCGCCACAAAGGAGGCTAATATTTCTGGGTTTCAGACCCTGTACAGTCTTCTCCAGTGCACGCCGGACCTGTCGAGTTCGGACTGTGATAGGTGTCTCCAAACAGTCATAGCTGATCTGCCTGGTTGCTCCAGCGGAAAAATAGGCGGAAGTTATATGTTCCCTAGTTGTTATGTCAGGTATGAAGTTTACCCTTTCTATAATGTATCTGCAGTTGCAGAGACGCCGCCACCGATTGTCACTAATCCTGGTTCAGAGATCAACCCCAAAGGTAAAGTTGAGCGCAAAATTCACCGATTAATTTTTGTTTGTTGTGATGTGCCTTCTAATCTTGCATCTATCTATAAAGTAGATAATTTTATAAGTTAAGCTTGTTCTTTCAGCAAATTAAAATATCTTATCTAGTGTGGTTCATTATCCATTGATCAAATTAAGAAAAATTGGGTATTAAAAAAAGTGATCAGACTACACAACTTAACCATTGAATGGGTACGGCCTTTGATATTGGGATTATCCCCATCCAATTGTTCATCTTTTACAATCTAATGCAGCCTAAACTGCAAAACATGGCTTTGAAACCATGCATGCCATGTCTAAAAAGATTGAGAAAACTCTATCTTTTCCCCTTCTCTATATGTCTAAGGTATTATTTGACAAAAGTGAAGATTTTGAATATTTGTTGCCTATTTCTTGAAAGTCCAACACTTTTATTTGACTTTAAACCAAAAAACTAATAGTTTCAGTTTTACCAGCAACATATTTTCTTCTTTTAGCAGGAAAAGACCAAAAACCATGGGTGATATTTGTTGCCATTTTTGTCCCGGTTGGCTTCTCTATTTTGGTTTTTGTTATGGGGTACTGCTTGCTAACGAGGAAGGGAGGGAAGAAGTATGATATTGTGCAGGGAGATAATGGTGAAAACATGACTTCTTTTTCAGTCCTGAATTATCTACGAGGCTTCCCAGATTTATGTTGATATATTTGGTGTCTGGTTGTGCAGCTGTGGCTGATATAATAACCACTATAGAGTCACTGCAGTATGGTCTCAATTCGATTGAAGCTGCAACAAACAACTTTGCAGAAAGTAATAGACTAGGTGAAGGTGGATTTGGGGTGGTTTACCAGGTAAGTCCAGAGAATTTAATTTTGAAATTAGAAGCTTTGATGTTGGGACTAGTGATTAGTGTTGTTTTACATTTTCAGGGTAGATTTCCTAATGGACAAGAAATAGCTGTGAAGAGGTTATTGAGGAGGTCTGGACAAGGAACTGAAGAATTCAAGAATGAGGCCGCGTTGGTGGCTAAGCTTCAGCACCGAAATCTAGTGAGGTTATTAGGATTTTGTGTGGAAGGAGAAGAAAAGATACTTGTTTACGAATTGGTGGCCAACAAGAGCCTTGACTATTTTCTATTCGGTCTGTGTCATCTACCCTTTTTTTGCAAGAACATTCACTCTAAAGAATTCCAACACATGCCAGAAAATTGTAAGTATGTCAAGTTTGATTTGCCTAATTCTTATGCAGATCATGATAGACGAGGATTGTTGGATTGGTCAACACGTTACAAGATAATAGAAGGTGTTGCTCGAGGAATTCTTTATCTTCATGAGGATTCTCGGCTTACAGTCATACATCGGGATCTCAAAGCCAGTAATGTCTTGCTAGATGGTGAAATGAATCCAAAAATTTCAGATTTTGGAATAGCAAGGATTTTTGGAGTTGATCAAGCTCAAGGAAAGACAAAAAGAATTGTTGGAACCTAGTAAGTAGTAAACTTTAGTTATTTGTTTGAGTTCCATAGTCGATTCACACAATATTACTTTTGAATCACAGAAAAATAATAATAATAATAGAATGAAAGATTATATACTAAGAAATTTTCTTTAAATTTAGTTATACAAAGATATATGGAATTCCTAGTTGTTCTATACTTCTATTGGCATACAAGAAAATGATCTCTGTTGTTATACTAACCTTGTTGTTGGTGTTCCAGTGGTTACATGTCTCCAGAATATGCCATGCATGGACGGTTCTCTGTGAAGTCAGATGTGTATAGTTTTGGTGTCTTAGTTTTAGAGATTTTAAGCAGCCAGAAGAACAGTAACTTTTGTCAAACAGAAGGAGCTGGAGACCTAATGAGCTATGTCAGTATAGTCAGCCCTCTGAATTAATTTCTTCCTGTAAATAGTTGCACCAACAACATTTTCTGTCTATGAGAAGAAGAAAGAAAGAATAAATTAAGGATAACATTTTTTAAATCGGTTGATGAATTTGTGCAGGCCTGGAAACTTTGGAAGGATGGGAGACCATTGGAGATGTTGGACCCAATTCTTGGAGATTCATATTCAAGAAATGAAGTCATTAGATGCATCCATATTGGTTTGCTGTGTGTTCAAGAGAATCCTGCTGAGAGGCCAACAATGGCAACTGTTGTTCTCATGCTTAGCAGTTACTCAGTCACATTACCTCTACCGAAGAAGCCTGCATTTTTCCTCCATAGCAGAACAGAGCTGACAAAGATGCTAGAACCTGATCAATCAATGAGTCAGTCAACGCAATACTCTACAAATGAAGTCTCAATCACTGAAATAGAGCCTCGGTAAAACTAGGCAGGCTATAGCTTATATCTCCTCTGTTAATTCACAAAGAGGAAGAGGAAACTGAATACTAATTCAGGGAAATGGCTTCCATTTCCATGTTGTTCTTCATGACCATTGTGTTGCCCTTCCTCATTAACTTCCTCTGTTTCAGATTTGAAGATATTCTTGGTTGCTATTGCTCGAATGCTAACAATTTCACGTATGTTGATATTAATCCCACATCAGGCGATCTTAAGAGAGTACATTTATATTGGTTTGATTCATTTAAAGAAATTAATTTTCTTTGATGTTGATTTTAAAATTTGAATTTTAGATTTGATTTATAAAATAATATTTTATTTATTAGTGAATTTAACTTTTAGAATTATATAACAACTTAACAATAAATGAAAAAGTTGCGAAGAAAAATAAATTTAGAAAGTGTTACATAGAAGTTAGTGAATTTTGTAATGAAATCTAGTTGAAGTTTTGTTCGGTATAATTTTTTTTCGTATTTGATAAGAAATATATTTTTTTTTTTTTGAACAGAGGGGAAATTTTAGGGGAAGGGGATTGTAGGGCTTGGAATTTGAACCAAACCAATATGTTCATCACGCTCTTTCAAGAGGGTGGCCAAGGATTGGACATATTTGATAAGAAATATTTGTGTAAAATGGTAACAGATCTTGTATAGGGTTCAAGAAATTAAGCAAGTACAACAAAATTTTAACTTGCTCCAAAACACTCCAGTAGTTTATAATTTTAATATACCATAACAAATAAGTTCTGTAAAGTATAAAGTTGTATGAAAAATATAAAGTTATGTGAAAAATAAAATAAAATTATACAAAGATAAGTAAATAGATATATATAAGTAGCTATCCTTTTGCTTCTCAGGTGTTAATTATACTGCTACTACAATATACAGATACCATGGGAACTTGTAGTCAGATGATAGACTTTAACCTGAAATCATCGCTTCCCAAACATCTCTTAACAAATAAACTTATGAGCATCTCTAACATTCGTTCAAAGTCAAGAAAATTGAGAAGTCCTCTAACACTTTAACATCAAGAGAATCGAAATAAAAACCTAAAAACCACGCTCATAAAGACTAGAGGTCGTAACAAGACTCAATTCACTATATTACAAGACAAACCTCCGCCATAAGAGGGATGATATCACAGTGAAGGGGAGACTAAACCCCACTTGTAGAAACATATCGCTGCACAATGGGTCCACAAGCCCTTACTAACAAAGGGACGAAGCTGCAGCAAAGGGCAGCACAAATCCTCACAAATAAAAAGATAAAATGGCCAGTGAACAAGAAGCAATAAAAAACGCCACAGCCAGATCGACAAAGCCATCTATTCAGCTTTTTTTTTTTTTTTTTTTTTAGGAAGCGGCATTTACGAGAATGTAATATTATATTTGATTTCTAAAAAAAAAAAAAAAAAAGTACATTTGAAAAGAATTGTTATTGAGAAATGGACAAAAAAAAAAGGGTTAAAAGCGCTTTTGGGTCCCTTGATTTTGTTTGAAATCCCCTTTTAGTTCTTCAACTGAAAAAATTTCCCTTTTAGTTTCTTAAGATTAATTTTTTAACTCTTTTTTGGTCCTTTCGTAAGTTATTTGCTGATGTGGCACAATTTTTTTGTCAAATAATTTGTTTATTTAGGTTTAGTTGAATATTGTTGTGGTTTTAAGTATTTTATTTTGATTTTTATAAATTTTATAACTATTGAAAATTAAAATTAAAATTTAAAAATTAAAATTTTATTTAAAACAAATTTTAACAATGACAAGGGAAAGTATTTATTTGTTTAATAATATTAAAATTATTTTTGTTCTTATTTCTACTATATTCATAATAGGGGCTTTTCTAACCTTTAATAATATAATAAATACAATTATAAATTGGTGTTAAAAACAAACAAAAATTAACTTTTAATTTATCAACTGTCAAATTAAATTCGCATATGTAGCAATGAAATTAAAATTAATATCAACTATTATATTTTTTTATATAAATTTATGATAAAAAGGTACCTTTCATTTGTGTTCTTATGATACAACTTGATTGAAGCTGCAACAAACAACTTCGCAGATAGTAATAGACTAGGTGAAGGTGGATTTGGAGTAGTTTACAAGGTAATGTCAATGCCATAAATTGAGAATTCAATTTGGAAATTAGAAACTTTGGTGGTAGGAATAGTGATTATTTGTTTTACCTTTTCAGGGTAGATTTCCTAATGGACAAGAAATAGCTAGCTGTGAAGAGGTTATTGAGGAGGTCAGGACAAGGAGTTGATGAATTCAAGAATGAGGCTGTGTTGGTGGCTAGGCTTCAGCACAGAAATCTAGTGAGGCTATTAGGATTTTGTGTGGAAGGAGAAGAGAAGATACTTGTATGTGATTCATGCCTAACAAGAGCCTTGACTATTTTCTATTTGGTCTGTGTCTTCTACCCCTTTTTTTCAAGAACCTTCACTCTAAAGAATTCCAACACACCAGAAAATTGTATGTCAAATTTGATTTGCTTGATTCTTATGCAGATCATGGTAGACAAGGATTGTTGGATTGGTCAAGACGTTACAAGATAGTAAGAGGTGTTGCTCAAGGAATTCTTTATCTTCATGAGGATTTTTGGCTTAGAATCATACATTTGGATCTCAAAGCGAGCAATGTATTGTTAGATAGTGATTTGAATCCAAAATTTTCAAATTTTGGAATGGCGAGGGTTTTTGGAGTTGATCAAACTCAAGGAAAGACAAAAAGAATTGTTGGAACTTAGTAAGTATTAAGTAGTAACTGTAGGAATTTATTTAAATAATCAATCTTACAAATTATTTAAATAAATTCCTACATGTGGTATCAAGCCACACAAATTAGATTCTAAAACACCAAATCATTCAAATCAGTAATATATGTAATACACAAAATTAATAAATAAATAAATTATGTACGTTAATCTCCATAATCAATATATTACTTAAAAATTTTCAAGAATCTTCAAGAATCATCATACTTAGGGATTTCATGACAAAACCTACAAAACCAAATATAATTAGTATTGGGATTTAGGTCTTCTTCTCTCTAACCAACTTCTGCATTGTGACAATCAATGGGTCATGTCACTCCTTAACTCTCCTATTTATAGAGATAGGGTTTTCTGAATGGGAGAGTGGACTTAACCCATTATAATAATTTTTTGGGCACTCCCATCAAGTAGCCTATCTTTACTTTCAGACCTTATAACTATTCATATCACACCATATAAAACTGAGATAAAACCTATGCCCACTTGAATCACATTATTTTATTGGGTTTTACCAGTTTTTCCATTTGACCCAATTTTTGAAAACCAAATACAATTAACAGCAGCCCACATAAAAATTTCCAACTCAAGAAAAGACAAAAAGAATTGTTGGAACCTAGTAAGTACTAAGTAGCAACACCTTACTTTTTGTTTAATTTCCATAGTCAATTCATTTATGGTCACATTATTACCATTGAATCACTGAGAAAAAGATCAATAGAACGAAAGATTATCTAATACTAACAAGATTTCGTTAAATTTAGTCATACAAATGTATATTGTATTCCTAGTTGTTCTATACTAAATAACATACAAGCAAATGATCTATGTTGTTGTCATACTAACCTTGTTGCTAGTCTTCCAGTGGCTAGATGTCTTCAGAATATGTTATGCGTGGACAGTTCTCAGTGGAATCAAATGTGTATAGTTTTGGTGTTTTAGTTCTGGAGATTTTAAGTGGCAAGAAGAATAGTAACTTTTGTCAAACAGAAGGAACTGGAGACCTACTTAGCTATGTGAGTATACATCAGCCTCTGAATTAATTTCTCACTATAAATACTTACAGTATTTTCCATCTATGACAAGAAGAAAGAAAGAATAAAGGACAACATCTTTTTAAATTGGTCAATCAATTTGTGCAGGCTTGGAAACTCTGGAATGATGGGAGACCATTGGAGCTGTTGGACCTGACTCTTGGAGATTCATCATATTCAAGAAATGAAGTCATTAGGTGCATCCAAATTGGTTTGCTGTGCGTCCAGGAAGATCCTGGTGAGAGGCCAACAATGGCAACCATTGTTCTCATGCTCAGCAGTTCTTCAGTCACGTTACCTCTACCAAAGAAGCCTGCATTTTTCCTCCATAGCAGAACAGAGCCAGCAAAGGTGCTTGAATCATTGAGTCAGTCAATGCAATACTCTATAAATGAAGTATCAATTACTGAAATTGACCCTCGGTAAAACTTGACATACTACAACTTACATATTTTCTGTTAATTCAGAAAGCCAAAAATACTTGGAGGGTTTACCTGCAAAAGTATGTAAAGTTCAGGAATGACTTCATGGTTTTTGATTCAAATTAAAATCAACTTACATGTAGTATAATTAATAGAACATTTAATTTAGTAATTTAGTAATTACTCTTTGCTCAATTTTAGTACATGTTTTTTTATCTAATAACATAAAAATATAATTATTTATTGATAAATTTTCATATTTATTTCTAATTAAGTAGCATTTAAAAGAGACTTATTATTTACTTTATGTTATAATTATTCTTTTAAAATAAGAGTAAAATAAGAATAAAAGTAATTAGAGGATGCAAAAAATGAGGATATCTTGGCATTAGAAATGTTAGGATATTTAATCAAAATCACATAATAGATGATATATAATGTAGATCACACTTGAGTTTTATCTACTATGTTGTAGAAATTGGATATCTTGACATTTTAATTATCAAGATGTCTTATTTTTCTAAAAGTATTAAATGACATTTTAAAAAGGAAAAGTGAATAACAAAATTGAAATGCTCCAAATTAAAAATTAGATTTACTAAAGTTGAATCAAAGGAGTATTTGTTTTTTTTACTCTATTTTAATGTTTGGTGATATAATTCTAATTCGAGGTATAGTTGTTAACTTAATGTGATTATTCTTATTTTACTTTTATTTTTAAAAAATAATTATAATATATTATTAAATAAAAAAGTTTATTTAAGTTCTACTAGTGATTAATTAGAGATAAAAAAATAAATTTTTACTAATTAATTATTATATTTTTATTTTATTAAAAAATTAAGCCTATTAAAATTAATCAGGAGTAAATGTTAAGATATGTAAGAGTTGATTAATTCACAGTTTTTCCTTTTGGCTTAGGGCTATTAAAAACCTCTAAACTTGTTATTAAAAAACATATTCCATTCATCCAACTTTAATAGTGTTAGTTTAATATTTTAATTTTTAAATATGAATTTCGAATAAAAATTTAACAATTTAAAATAACAATGGCAATTTTTTTCCTTTATATGTAATTCTTGTTGAGTATTTTTGTTTGATTAAAAATTTTCTATTATCATTTATATAAAATATTAAGTTTTCATTTAAAATTTATATTTAAAAAATTGAAAAATTAAAAACTAAAATAAAATACTATTAAAATTGAACAGGAGTAGTCGCGTAATTTATAAGATAACCCAATGTGAAGAATAACATGTTTAAACAAAGGACAATGATTTATACAATCTTTAATTCAATACACTTTTTAATACATGTATTAAAAAATTATAATTTTCAAATTTGAATTTAAAACGAAAAAAATTTCACTTACAAAATTTAATAGTTGAATTGATGAGTATTGATAGGTGTATTGAAATGGAAAGTATATCAATCATTATCCTTAAACAAACCTTGACAAAAATTTCAAGTGTAAGATTTTAAATTAAAAGTTATGCTAAATATGAGTGACCATGCATGTTATTTATCCTATGTCGTTTAACATTTGATATTTTTCAGAAAATCTTAGTGGATCCCTAATATTAATATGAGATGTTGCTATTGGTAATGTAATGTCTTACTTCGCATCCTCCAATCATGTATAGCCTTGCAAAAGTAAAATACCTCTATCTAAAAAAAAGAGAAAAAAGAAAAAAAATACAGAGGCACTTGAACACTTAAATAATAAAAAAAAAATGTAAGAGACTTTCTCTATTTTCCTTCTAACTTGTGTTCTTTTGGTTTATTATACTTTTCTTCTTATACCTTTCTAACATACTTTGTAATTTGGGGGATTAAAATTAGTTGCTCACATTTCTATTTTAAGATGTTACTTAAATACATTTATTTTGATTTTAAAAATATAATTACAACACATTTTACAATAAGAAAACTTATGTAGTTAGTTGTTAAGTAGAAGTAAATATAAATTTTATTATTTAATTATTAAATCACTATTTTATTTAAAAAATAAGTCAACCAAAATTAAACCAAATGAGTAATATTTGAAGTTTAGCCAAACATATTTATTAAAAATGAAAATTAATTTGACTTTTTAAAAAGATACGTCAACTTTCAAAGAGCTACTAGAAAATAAAGTTGAAACACCAAGCATGCTTTTCTAAAAGAGATTTTCTCAGATTAGTTACGTTTCCTTGACTTTCTCACTGAGGAAACCAAAGACAGCGTTTCGGGCAAGGCGTCAAGAAGTCTCCTTAGAGGGCTTAATCGCGAAAATAATGTAAGTCAGAGTTGCTTTCTATTATTTTAGATATGGGTTTTCACAGAGAGGTTAAATTTTTTTTAATTTAGTCTCTTAATTATTGTATAAATTCATGAATTGATTCTTAAATTAAAAAAATTTTTGATTTGATTTAAAAAAATTTTAAATTAGATTCAAAGTTGATTTTTTCTTTAAAAAATAATTGATATATCCATTATTTGATGGCTAAAAGCTATTACTTGACAATCAATATTATGTTAGTAACAAAATCTGTCAATAATTTTTGAGCAAAGAGACAAATTTGGAGCCAAAATTAGAAACTTTAGGCATTAGATCAATGATTTTTTTAGTTCAAAAATTAACTCATGTAATATAATAGTTAAAAGATCAAATTAGGGGTTTAACAAAAAAAAAAAAAAAAAA